ACTACACTGTGAGACCTTGTCTCAAAACAAAAAGCAATAAAAATAAAAATAAAATTAATAATTACTAAGTACTGGATATACAGCTTAGTGTGAAGGCCCTGGTTTAATCCCCAGTACCACAAACAAATAAACAACAAACCTTCCTGGAAGTCGTATATACCACATATATATCATTATATACCATATATACCGCTTCCTCTGGCCACCCCGAGTTGTAATGAACTATGGGTAATACATTCTTCATTTGAAGCAGCCAAAATCAGGGTTAAAGAAAAAAAAAGAATAGATATTGGGTATTGTTATGGTTTGTGTCTGGGTGTCCCCCCAAAGCCTCATGCAGTCATGGGGCAGGCTTTTAGAGTTTGATTGATTATGGGTGTGAGAGCTACACCCTCCCTGGCATGGATAGTTTGCATATGTAAGGGAGAGGAAGAAGCTGCTTGGGGCCATTCCTGGCTTTTGTGCTTTTTGCTTTTGCTGTGCTCTGCCGCCATGAGCTGTAGCCCTCTGCCATGTACCACTCTGCTTTGTAACCTGCCAAGTATGGACTGAAAACTCTACAAATTGTAAGCAAAATAAACTTTTCCTTCCTTATTTTTGGGTGTCAAGTACTTTGTCCCAGCAACGAGGGAAAAGTAACCAAGACAGGTATCCAGGGGAAGCATCTCTATGCTGTAGTTTGGATTCCACTAGAACTACAGGCCTCATTCAATAAGTCATGAGAGTTTGGATTTTCATTGGCTTGGCAGCTGTCTTATCCTGTCACTGTCTCATAGATCTCCAAAATGGCCAAATGGAAAGTTGTGACTGGCATGTGTCAGCATTGATTCTGTCCCCAGATGTCCTGTCTCAGGTACAGGTGCAAAGGTTGGGCACAGGGTTGGGCACAGGGCTAGTGAAGGCTGGTGAAGCCAGTGCAGACCTTCTCCCTCCCTGCATGGCCTCTAGATTCTCCACTACCAGTTCCTGCTGACACTGCATTCAATAGGCCCAGCAGAAAACAGTGACTATCTGAAACAGGCTGTCACAGAAATATATATTATGTCCCATAGCTAGGAGTGGACTCTAGATCTCCAGAAACACATCCAAGAGCCAGTTCTCCCAGCAGCTGAACTTTGGGACCCCCGAGGACACAGCTGTGTATACTGTGTGAGAGAATCACGATGAGGGAACCCAGTGTGAAGCCACATACACACACACACACACCTCCCAGTAAGGTCACTCAGAACCAGCAGAGGGCACTCAAGATCAATGACAAGACCCTTTGCAGGGGCGTCAACAAGGGTCCCAATCACTGAGACATTGGTGAAAGAGTGACTTAAAGCCTTAAAGCATCAAAGACACTGCTTGAAAACAGGCAAATTTGTGGCACAGGAAGCAGCTCAGATACCATAGATCCATGTATCAAGGAACTGGCAAGGGAAATAGAAGACAACTCACAGAACACATAAATCTAACAGAATATTTCCCACTGCAACTTGATTGATTCAGTTATTAATAACATGCCAATTCTTTCAGCATGTATGCTTTGAAGATTACGGTGGTTTGAAAGATGAGATTTACTTTATCTTCAGTGCCAATGAAATGCCTAGCTCTGAACCATATAAAACTATGCAGCATTACATTGCTAAATAGATGTGGTTGAAGGTTAGGTTTTGCATTGTGTTCTGATGGCACAGCTACTGAGAGACAGAAATTCTTGAGTAGTTTCCTCAATAATGAGACTCTAAGTCAGTCTACCACCATTTCCTTCTTGAAGGAAATGTTTCAACCTTGCTGTTACAGAGGTGCCAGCTACCCAAACTGTGTACTCAGAGATATAGTATGATCATAACTTCCATAGAAACTAATGCTTTAATCTTGAGATGAACTTTTTAGTGATAATATGGAAGCTACCTGAAAACAACCAGTAGTACATTTTTAAATATGATGGTTATCAGACAAGAAGTTCTATTAATAAAATTCAACTGCAGAATGAGCTTTTAGGGTTTCTGCAAGAAAAAAAAAAAAAAAAAAAGACAGTTTTGTCCCAAATCCTTCACAACATAACTTAGATGTTCTGACTTATTTGGCTCATATCTCCAGTATTTTAATAATCTTAACATTTCTATGCAAGAGTGAAATGCAAAGTGTTTTTCATTGAAGCAGATAAGGTTACAGGACATAAATGTTAGAAAACTAAACAAACAGAACTTGTGCAGATTATTATGATACATTCCGTAAATGAACAAATATATTGTATTTGCACACCTGCAAAAATTATAATCAGATAACTTATAAATTGATAGGATAGCCTGCCTTTATTTTCCATCCAAAAAAAGATCCATGTATAGAAAGTGAATGGATCCTAAATCCATCCACCCCATTCCTCTGATCTACTAGTGCTCTTCATTAGCCAGATTCCAACCTGAAACACAAGATTTGAACACTCACGACAGAGCAAGAATGAAGGGAGGGAAGAAGGAGCCACGTGGATTCCCCAAACTGTGTTGAGGAAGAGGCTTTTGTGCTACTTGAAGTGGGTATGTGGTAGCATAAGTGCATAGTGATGATAAGGGCCCTAACCCTAACCCTAAAGATGAGATAAGGTCCCCATTTACAGGGAAGTGACAAAATGTACTGACAAGAGGATTGGCCATCAATCAACATGAAGACAGATGCCCCCACTCACCCTGTACTGAGGATTGAACTGAGGGCATTTACACTGAGCTACATCTGCCACCTTTTTTGTTTTGATACAAGATCTTGCTAATTTGCTAATTTGCCCAGGCTGGGCTTGAACTCACAATCTTGCCTCAGCCTCCCAGGATGATGGGATTACAGGCAAGGGTCACCATGCCTGGTTGACAGATCATCTCTTATAACATGAGGAACTATGAAAAAGATGCTTCAGAAAAAATGCAGGAAAAAATGAAAGCAGGTGGTAAGTTGATGGTTTTGCATGGTATTTTTCTGATTGCTTCCATGTCTCAGTGAAATAAGAACCAGAGCAGAGAGAGACAGATAGACAGAGACAGAGAGATAGACAGAGAAAGACAGAAAGAGAAAAGGGAAGACAGAAAGAGAAAGAGCCAGCCCAGGCAATATGACAAGGAGCCATCTCCAGGGTATGAGAAGATAGCCCCTGAAGAAATCTAGCAGAAATGCAGCACTTAAGGACCCACCCAAGATTGTGGTCTTGATCTCTCAGCCACATTCTGTGTACCAAGAGAGACAGACTCTTATTCTAAAGAAACAAGGGAAAAGAAGCAGAAGAGGACGGATGAGGTAGGGTATGACTGTAATGATGATCCAACAAATGAGACATGGGTTGGGAGTAGTGCAGGGGTCCAGACAACTGCTGGCCTCAGGCATTCAAGAGAGCAAGCCTAGAGGTCAGAAGCTCAGAGTGGGTGCTTGACATGAAAATGTGAAAGGTGAGCAGTATCAGAATTGTCCAGGACTCAAGAACAACCTTGCAACAGTGACCAAAGCAGGCAGAGTGGGCCAACGGTGAAGGTGTGGGGTAGTACATGGATTACACGGACATTGGCTCACGAGAAATGATACCAGAGGAGTAAGCAGAGACAGAGTAAAGACATACTGGTACTCAGCAGTTCCATGAGACTGTCAGAGATCTGTGGCTGCCAGTGCCAGGAAGAGCCACAGAAGCAATATCAAACAGCATGTACTGCTCCAGGGCTGGGACTGAGGAAGAAGAAAAACAGCAACCTGGATGCCACAAAGGGAAGCCATCTGCAGTTCTTATGGGGGACAACAGTGAGAAAAGGGACAAATGCTAGGTCAGACAGTCTCTGATAGAACCAAGTCTATGTGGGGGAATCTTCTGGAGGTTTTCAGAACCATAGATGTCCAGACCTGTGCCCTGAAGATGCTTCACCATTGGTCCCAGTAAGAGCAGACTCCAGAGCCAGTGCTCAGAGACCTCAAGTGCCTCCATAGTAGTAGGAGTGGGCCAGCTCTGCTGGACATGTCTCACCCACAGGGTTGTTACAAATGACTCCATTATGCATCATTTTGCCTATATTTTTGGAATTATATGTATAAGTGGGTTATCTCATCTATGGATTTCATTTTATGCTAGCAAAGGGGTTAGAAAAGGTTCGCTATAAAGAAAGGTCTTGAAGGCAAGAACCGCTGCTATCAGGGACAATGCTCAAGGGACACAGAGCACTTTGGGGTCTGTGCCCAGCCAGGAGATGATACTCAGGGCAGGTCAGCTGGCTAGACAAGGACTTGGACATGATAAGGTTCACTCTGGTGGTACAACGGCAGAATTTGGGTTGGGCAGCTCTGACCAGAAACCCCTATCGGGGAGCAGGCCAGGTTCCTACAGGGGTCGCCAGACACCAGGTGGCAGCAGAGGACAGGCAGCAAAGGGTCCAGGTAATAATGGGAATGCTAGACTCAAGCCCCTCAGAAACAGATGTTCTGGGATGATTGGCTTAGGGCCTAGGTATCCCAGCCTGTTTTACTGTAATGTACACTGAGACCAGTATCTGTCTGGCTAGACACTGAGGAAGGATATGTCATCCACAGCCCTTCCTCACTTGCTGCTGTGACCAGGCTCCAGGCACAGACCCTCAGAGCCTTTCAAGCCTCCTTCCCTGCCCTGAATGCTGCTGCCTGCTTCAAGCCTTCTGTGGCACTGAGCTTCCCCCACCCCCAGGCCTCTCTCCCCTTCCTGCCTGGCACTCCATCTGAGCAGTGTGGAGGGGAGATGCCTACTTCTAAAGGGCAGACACAGTTACTATGGCATCAAGGCCTAGTGTGACTAGAGGGCTTTGGATCTGGCCCCACTACACCACTTCATGCAATGCACAGGGCCCCTCTCCTGGGTTCACCACACTCAGGCCTCACTCCTACTCACCCAAACTCATTTGCTAACAACTCTTGCTGCTGACCTGAGCCCAGCACTGCTTGGCACCCAGTGGATGTGCCTTGCCCCAGCTCACTTGCTACGTTCTGATGGACAGGACAGGCCTGCCCCTGGGCAAGGTGCCACCTGCTAAGGCATAAAAGCCTGGTGTCTGCCTAGGCAGCTTCTGAGACTGCCACCATGAAGGGAAGCAGCACTCTCCTGCTAGTGGCCCTCACTGTGCTCTCCACCTGCGGTAAGTCTGGGCCAGGTTTTCAGCATATTTGGGGACAGGGTCTTGGGATGTAGTGGATACCACCTTCCTTCCTCATAGATCACCCACAGAAGAGCACGGACAATGCTAACTAACCCCAATCCTAAACCAGGCCCACCCAGCCCAATATCAGCCACTCCAGCCCAATCCAGCACGACCCCAACTGTGAGCCCCACCTCGGTCCAGCTTCAAAACAGGGAAGGAAATGAACACTTATTAGAGCACGACTTTCCTCCCCTGGTGAGGCCAGGAACACAGCGGAAATTGGATGCTAAGGTCAAGGGTGTGAGGGGATGGGTCTGTGGCACGTGAGGTTGTACTGTTATGGAGGAGGATATGGTGAAGACCAGAGAGCTCAGAAGCCCAGGGTGGGCCCTGTCCTGGCATCATCTCCCCTTACAACACAGGGCTGGCCAAAGCAGAGGACAACAGTGAATTCTTCATGGAGTTCCTGCAAGTGCTGCTGGTTGGAAGCCCAGAGGAGCTCTATGAGGGGCCATTGGGCAAGTACAATGTCAACCAGGATGCCAAGGAGGCAATGACAGAGCTCAAATCCTGCATTGATGGTCTGCAGCCCATACACAAGATGGAGCTGGTCAAGTTGCTGGTACTGGGGCCAGGGAACCCCTTCCCTCAAGCCTAAAGTCCTTTCAAGATCTGCCCAACACATGGCCCCTGGTTACCAGTCCAAGGCAGCACCCCACAGCCCACCCCCACAGATACTGAGGTCTGAGGTGGATACCCTAGACTTCTCTACCCACAGAGAAGCTCCCAAGCCCCCTCAATGTGTTCCCTGTCCAGTCGCTTGGCTGTGCCCTACACAAGCATATGTACACACAGACACACGCAGATGCACACATGCAAACATGCATGCACATGCCTCCAAGCTGCTGGGGGGTATGCTACCATGGGCCCACATGCTACAATGGGCCCATCCCCCTCTCAGAGGGGGCCTTGGCTGTCTGCCTCAGGGAGCAGTGGCTCTCTGGTTATTGGTCACCAGCTCACTGGGCTCACACACATCTGCCTTCCAGGAGCAAGTGCTGGGCAGTGAGGATGACGCCTGAGTGGACCTCAGACATGGCTCCCGACAGCACAGGACCAGCCACACCAGCAGCCCTGGATGTGCTGCCTATAGCTGCTTCCCCACAAGTAAACTGACCCTCAAGCTGTTAGACCAATAAAGCCTCCTGCAGCCCAGGCACTGGCTCCTGTTTTTCCCCTGACACAGGGACACACAAAAGGCCACCTACAGCACAATCAGGCGTACAGACTCATATATATGGGTTGCACACAGGAAGCCCACCAGGAGCAGGCCTACAGACTGGGACAGCAGACACCACATGGCAGGGGATGGAGCACAGAGCCAGGGAGGCATCAAGATGGCAGTCTGGGCAGCAGGACAAGAGGGAGCAGAGCTCAGAAAGAAGTGTCCAGGGCTTGATAGAGAAGGACATCCCCCAGGGGCTGGGGATTTAGCTCAGCGGCAAAGCGCCTGCCTGGCAAGCGCAAGGTCGTGAGTTCGGTTCCCGGTACTGGAGAAAAACCAAAAAAAAAAAAAAAAAGAGAAGGACATCCCCCACTCATGCTGGGATGCTAAGACTGAAAGCTGATAGGTGACTCATGAGCACAGCTGTGCATGGGAAAAATGTGACAGCATAGACAGCAAATACATAAGCATCAGGGGCTTTGAGAAGAATCTCTCCCCAAAGTCACCCATGGAGAGAGGCCCCAAGTGGAGCTTGAGCCCAAGAGGGCCCTGATAATGTCAAGAAGAGAGCACCCAAGGACCCCATGGTGGAGTGGGACAGCTAAGTCTAAGGAAGGCCAGCAGGAGCAGTCTCCCCACCCTGGCTCCTGCTCGACACGACACAGATCCCAATCTGACTCCAGATGCACGATCCCTAACACCCAGAGCTTCCCTGTGCCTCAGTCTCCCCAGCTCAGGGATTCTGATGGGGCAGGGTTGACTGATCACCACACTCACTCCTGGGCCACCCTAGACTTGGGGCCCTGTTCCTCCTTGTTCCTCCCTTGTTGCAGATACCCCAAAGAACATCAGGATCTGGTGAGAGGAGTCTGTGGGGAAGGTGGGAGACCCAGGTGAGAGAGAGAGGATCCCTGGAGAAAGTGGTGTCCCTGACCAGCTGGGTCCCTGGGAAGGGTGGGGCCTGGTAAGAGCTTCAGAGCCATTGTTCCCATCACACTTGCTGTGATCTAGAACTCTCCATCCCACAAAGCCACATTCTAGAGCTAAGGGACCCCTCCCCAATTCTCAAAGCCCCCAGGGAGAAAGGAGTCCTTTCTCTCTGTGTTCTTTTCTTGGAAACTGCCTGGTACTGAGACCCGGGGAAGGGGACCACCTGCGAGGAGGCTGGGTGGCAGGCTACTCTGCACTGCCCCATTCCAAAGAGGTAAGGTCCTGAGCCCCCTACCCAGCCACAGCACAGCTCCACCCCGGGAGATCCTTACCAAGTGATGAGCAGTTTTTTTCAAGTAGGAGCCTGCCCAGGGCCCAAGAGCCAAGAGGATGGCCAGTCACTAGCCAGAGTGACCACAGACAGGACCTGGCACCTCTCATTTTAGAGCTGGAAAGGGCTGAGCCCATCTCACCAAGCAGAAAGTTTCCACTGCCCCTAACTGCATTAGACCTGTGGAGGCTGCAGACTGTGCCTCTGCCCCCTCAACATCAGCAGGACCAGGATGGGGCTGTGGGGGGCAGGGATGAGATAAGCCAAGACTTCTAGGGTGGTCACTCTCTTGTCCACAGACAGAGCCAGCCATGACGGAGGAGGTATGGGTGGGCACCTGGAGGCCCCATAGGCCCCGGGGGCCCATCATGGCCCTCTACAGCAGCCCTGGCCCCAAGTACCTGATTCCACCCACCACAGGTCAGAGATAAGGGCCCGGGGAACTGCAGGGGAGTGAGAATATCTGCCTGGGTGGGTCTGGGTGGCCTGGGGTGGGTCTGGGTGGCCTGGGGTGGATCTGGGTGGCCTGGGTGATCTGGAGTACATCTGGGTTGGTACCCCAGAGGCTCCATCCCAGACTGCTAGTTGGTGAAAAGCAGCACCTGGCTTCAGGCTGCTCAGAGCCACCATGTCCACAGGCTTTGTGAAGCACACACCCACCAAGTTGCGTGCTCCAGCCTATAGCTTCCGTGGGGCCCCCATGCTCCTAGCAGAGAACTGCTCCCCAGGACCCCGCTACAGTGTGAACCCAAAGATATTAAGGACCGGCAAGGACCTTGGCCCTGCCTACTCCATCCTGGGGCGCTACCACACCAAGACCATGCGGACCCCTGGCCCGGGTGAGAGCCCTCACGCTCCCAGCCCAATGATGTCTCTGCATCATTCCCACTGTTCCTACTGGGGGGCCACTATGTGTCCTACTATGTCAATGTGGGGTGTGCTTTGTCTATCCTGTTCCCTCTTTCTACTCTCAGGGCATCATCAGGCTTTAACCCACATCGTCTGCTCCAAAACAGCTCCTGTCCCCCAGCCTCAAAGCCAGGTTTCCATCCTGGACACTCCTGGCCAAACCTGCTCACTCACTGCCTATGAGGGAGCTGAGAGCCTTGTGCTTGGCAGGTTGGGATCATCTTCTTGGTGGGGGGTTGCACCCTCATTCTTGTACCCTTTCTCTCCACCACAGGTGACTACTTTCCAGAGAAATCTACCAAGTATGTGTTCGACTCAGCACCCAGCCACTCCATCTCTGCCCGGACCAAGACCTTCCGGGTAGATAGCACTCCAGGTCTGCAGCAGCCTACCGTCACCTGGACAACTGGTGTTTGGGTTCCCTAGGGGTAGGTGAGGAGCAGCTCAATGGCAGATAGAAGGTCTGCCGATCTCTGACCTGAAGCTCCTATCTGCTCTGCAGGCCCCGCTGCATACATGCTGCCAGTGGTGATGGGACCACACACTGTGGGTAAGGCCTCCCAGCCCTCCTTCTCCATCAAGGGCCGCAGCAAGAGGGGCAACTTCAGCGACGACCTGCACAAGGCAAGGGTTACCGTGCCTCAGGCAGGGCACAGCCCTTAAAACCTAGGACTCTCAGCCCACCATTGTGCTGCTGAGGCGCCTTGCAACCTGTGCCTTCTAAATGCTTGGGAGGAGGAGCCAGGGCACCAGCAAGGAAGACAGTGCCAGGGCTAAGGACAAGCAGAGGGGTATATAGAGCCTACCTAAAGGGCATAAAACACTTTTTAAACACTTTAGGACAAGAGGAAGAAGAAAAAATAAGCCCTGGGACATTTGGGGGAGGAAGGTTCCTGCTCTGTTAACAGCCAATGCAAAGGCCCTAGGACATAAGCATACATCAGCATGCAGTGTTCTGATCTACTGCCAGCCCCAGGACACAGCCCTCAAGCTGAGGACATTGTCTCAACTAAGAAGGGGCCTCATACACATGCTCACAGGCCTGGCACACACTAGGAGTGTCACTGCCACAATAAGCCTGAAACCAAATGAGTGACACCCCCAGAGGTGCCCCATGGGAAACAGAGCCATCTCAGAGCTCCCTGTGGGGACTCAGGATCTGGAACTGTCCCTGCCCTTGGCCCTCCGGGATGACATGCCATGGACAAAGTAAACCTGTCTGTACCATCTTTACCTACCAGACCCCAGGTCCTGCAGCATACCGCCAGACAGATGTACAGGTGACCAAGTTCAAGGCTCCACAATACACCATGGCCGCCCGTGTGGAGCCTCCAGGGGACAAGACCCTCAAGCCAGGACCAGGAGCCCACAGCCCTGAGAAGGTCTGGGAATAGCAGACCAGAGGGGTTAGGGGACTCAGGGACAGGCCCAAGGGGGCAGGAGGGGAAGGGACCCTGCAGGGACCTCAAGATGGTAAACTCATCCCAAGAGCAACCCTTCAGGCACAAAGAACCAGAGCCATCCTTTACATCTAGCAGCAGGCTCTAGGTCCCCACCCTGTGACAGTCACTGCTGCTGTGGGTATGGCCTCCCAACCCTCCTCCATCAAGGGCTGCAGCAAGAGGCAGCTTCAGCACCGATCTGCATAAGGCAAGGGATCAGCACCCAAGCCCAAGCCATTGCCAAGAGTCCTCCTCACAGCCTTTCCTCTCCCAGGTGACCCTGCACAAGCCCTGTGCCCCCATTGTCACCTTCGGCATCAAGCACTCTGACTACATGACACCCCTGGTTGTTGATGTGGAATAGCTCCAGCCCCACACCCTGCAGCCTGCAACCATCTCATGCCTGTAAGACTCCCAGGGAAGATGTAGGCTGGACGTCTCCTGAGCAGAGCCACAGCTGGCGTACCCTGCAGGACAGAGCATGCTTGTTTGGGCAGTTGTGACAAGTTTCCTTTTTTACGATTTTTTTTTTCTATGCTGTCTTCCCATTTGCTAAATAATCTTGCTTCCTGTTGTGCCCAAATTTCTTAATAAACCATGAATTTCAGTTACAAGGATTTGTCTTGGGGAGGAACCAAGCTTAACCACAGCTTTCAGTGCAGGCCCATGTGCGGTCTCAGCCCTGGCTTCCAGATCTTCAAATGGAGACCTCAGAGTCCTGCCTCACACCTATGTTCCCTTAGAGAACTAGAGTCCACATCCCTCCCCTTAAATCTGGACCACCCTAGATAACAGGGTACAGAAGTGCTATTGCCTGATGCCCTCCATATGCTTCAGAGTAAGGAAGCTTGATACATGTGAGTGGCCTTTGGTGACAGCCCAAGCCCCTCTGCACCTGAGGCCTCACCATGGTAACCAGAGCCAGCCATTCCCACTGGGCCGTCTCAAATTCTGGCACAATAACACCACTGTCGCTATGCTGACTGACTCAGTCTCAGGGAAATCTGTTACCTACCAAGGGCTAATACAGGATGTGGGTAGGGACACTGGTCAATCTCAGCTGGGCCTGGGGGATCTGCACAGGTACCCCAGGCCCACAGCCAGGCCTTAAGAGGCAGAATCTGGATTTCCCTTGGCCCAGGAGAGGTCCATGCTGGGCAGGCGGCCTATCCCGCACACCAAGAGGACAAAACCAGTACCAACACGGCAGAGGTGCTGACCCCTCCACTGTGACCAGTCCTGTGACCAGCTCCAGGATCACACTTCAGGACTCGGACAGAGAAGAGCTGCACAGTAGGAAGTGGTGGCCCTATGGCTACCCTGCCCAATGCAGAGCCAAGCGGGGGAACAAGGGGAGAAAAGGGATCCAGGAAAAAAGATGAGGAAGGGAGTGCCTCTACACAACCTAAAACAAATAAAAACCACTTCTCTCAAACCCTAGAAAAGAAGACAAAAAATATGTAAGTTGTTCTTCACAAAGCTGTTTATTCCACATTTTATCGCTGAGATGTTCCTGACTGCGATACAGCCTGGAAATTCATCCTCATGACCCTCACAATTGGGTCTTTTCTGGTTTATTAGAGTTAGAGACCGGGGCTGGGGATTTAGCTCAGCGGCAAAGCGCTTGCCTGGCAAGTGCAAGGTCGTGAGTTCGGTTCCTGGTACCGGAGAAAAACCAAAAAAAAATTTAAAAATAAAAATAGAGTTAGAGACCAAGTTGGCAAACCCCATTTATCCAGTGGGCCAGATGTCAGGTGCACAAGGCCAAGCTGGAACACTAGGGTTGGGGCTCTCAGGAAGCTGGTTTGACCCAAGCCCCATTCCACAGGACTCAAAGACACAGGGAGGGAAAAAAAAAATGTTAACTGGGAAGGAATGACAACACATAGACCAAAGACAGCCAGACAAATTCCTGAGGGAAGAATGAAGTAACCAAGATCGCAGAGAGGTGGCAGAGTTCTCCAGCAGAATGTCTTCCTTAGATTCTTTATGTGAATACAAGGGTGCTAGCCTCTCAGAAATTGCTGGCCCTGCCAGCCTCACAGTTCAGTTTGCATGAAGGTGAGACAGGCTAAGTAGAGGTGGAGACCCAGGGAGAGGTACACAGGGAAGGCAGTGTGTAAGGATGGGAAGGTAGCTCAGACCACTCCCACTGCAAGGGAAGACTAGCTATGGGAGGCAGGTAAAGATATGGCAGAAGGGCAAAAGTTCTGCTACAAATGGCACAGTGGCCTCTACAGGCAGCCTTCAGCCCATGACAGCCCTTTGGGGCAAAACCTCCCCCACACTCTACCTAATTTTGAAAGGCCAGACTAGCTCTCCTGGGGCTACATCTCTAGCACCAGAGAGGTTCTGAATCCTGAGGACATCCATTTCTGTGACCCAGAAGACCAACCCAGTATATCCAGCCAAGGCTGTGGTCCATTAACATTAACGCTAACATTCCCTACCCTTCCTAGAGGTCTGGCTTCATCCAGGGACTGGAGGGCACAGGTCTCCCCACAGAACACTTGACCCATATCAGACCCCCTCTGCTCAGCAGTCTTGACCAGCAATAACTGTCACATCTAGGCTGAGCACCTCGAGGTGAAGAAACCAGCTCTTATTGGAGTCACAGTCACTGTCCCTTCCTATGGTAGTCCCAGGCTCCTCAGATCACATATGCATCTTCACCCAGGAACAGATGGCACAGAAGGGCCTTAAGACTTCAGACCCCTGAGGGCTAGGAGAAGGGTTGCTGGCCATGTGAATACATTCAAGACTCATAGCTGCTCTGCTCAAGACCTGGCTGGTCCTGGTGCACTGTGGCCCTAGCCTGGCCACTTTCTCTAATACCAGAGTGGAGGTGGGGGCTGGGCCTTGATTTCCCAAAGGAAAATGTCCTTCCACATGGGACTAGCCAACTTGATGAGCTCATTGGGTCAGAGGCCCCACCATACAGGAAGAAGATTCCTGACTCATGGTGGTAATCTCAAAGTAGTACTTTTCAGGTGAAGCCTCAGGAGGTCAGGATACCAGACGAGGAAGACCCTGGTACCTTTGGCTCCCACTGGTTCACGTCCTTGCCCTTGACAAGAGGTATGAAAGGATGAAGAAGGCCACGAGCAGGCCGACAGCCATGCCACACAAAAGCTTCCGATTGTCTCGTCCAGACCGTGCCATCATGGAAAACCGCTTCACACTCCCCGTGAGCAGGCCAGTCACACTTGTGAAATCTGAGTCCTGGAGCAGAGGGCAGTAGGATCACAACATGCACCCATTCAACTACCCTCCACCCCCGGAATCACTGGAGCAAAAACTGTATAGCCAGCAGCATGAGGTGGACCTGACTGTAGCTCCTGCACCCTACAGACACTTACCATGCTGTCCAGGTACCGGTTCTGGTCTTCCGCATCCCTATCAATGTCCAGGGCCAGCTGGTGAGGACAGAGAACAAAGTCAGGTCAAGGAAGACAACAGCACTCATTCTCCCTTCTAATCAGCCAGATGTTGTCCATAACCCAGCTGTGCACCATACTGCCAGCAAAGGATGGAAAAGTGTCTAAGCTGCCTAAAATCTCTCAGGATCCTCTCCCTACCCTTCTAGCCCTTTGAGGTGGAGGTGAAAGGCAGGAAAGGAGCCACCACTGACCGATTTAAGCCTGGTAACCTTGGAGACCAGGTTGTCAGCCATCCGCTTGTTCTCCAGGTCTAGAATCTCCTCCACAGCACCAGAGCTCTGAGCTATGAAAAAACACAGAGGTTAAGAAGTTTCCTCCACCCATGAGTGAAACCCCAACTGCCCCCGTCACTCCAATCAAGTCTGGCCCAGTCACACTTCTCAACAGGTGGACCACGCACATGTGGGACAGGAATGCAGCACTGTCGTGTGAGCAGATGAGCAGAGGTCCTTCATGCAAATCCAGGTGGAGGTGGGAAGGGATCCCCACAGGCTCAGTTCAAATAGCCCCTCCTGATGCTGTGCGAGAATATGGACTAACCCTAGGAATACTGAAAAGATGCACTTGCCTCCATGGACATCATCATCTGTGGCTAAGAGTCAGCTCTCCAAGAAAAAAACAGTAAACACTGGCAGGGGCATAAGAAAGAGCATCTAGGAAGATGACAGGAAGTCTCTTTACTACAAAAGAAGTGAATGAAGCCCCCCAACCACCCAGAGCTTGGCCTCCTGTGACACCTGTGGTGCCTGTGGGAAGTGACAGGGGCAGACCAGGTGAGATGCCAGTCCAAAGCACGTCACATGGGTGAAAACCGCTGCTCCCAAATACAGTGCAAATCCGCCCTACCCTGACGCACAGTAAGAACCGGCGATGTGATCCACGGCAGTGATGCAGCCGTAGGAACCACTGGCGTGTTCAAAACCGGAAGGCTGCCCGCGTCCTGCCAATCGCTACGTGCCCGTTCACTTCTTTCACACAACAGAAAGGGAGACGCCTAGGCCCCAAGTCAATGGACGCCTGCCCCCTGCCCACTGCACCCTCACTCGACTGGTGTCCGGCCAGGCCCCTGAGACCCCACCCAGCTCACCAACCCCCAGCAAACAACCTGCCTCCCTCCCGGTTTCAGTCCCGGCGTAGTCAGGTCACCTCGACCCGGAAGGCCGGTCCGCCCCCACACAGTGACCTCCAGTGAGGGAGCGGGGGGCGGCTTGGCCCAGCTCTCGGGCGCTCACCGCGAGTCCAGTCCGCCATTGTAGTCTGCCAGCGCTGGCCGCTAGCTACTGACGCCGCCACAAGCGCCGCAGACGTGGCACGGGACCGCTATAGACTTCCGGCCCCGCCTCTCTCAGGGCCCTCCCCCTCCTTCCTGGCCCGTTCTACTTCCGGCCAAAGGGTGGTGCACTGTGGGAACGGAAGTGGTATACTTTCGCCGCCCGTGGTCGAGGGAGGAGTGGGCGTCGGCTCTCGACTTCGTCGGTTGTTTGGGCGCGTTCTTAGTGCCTGGATGTGACTGTCAGCCAGGCCCTTCCGGTCAGCGGGCGGGGGTGTGCCGGGGAGCTCTCTGCGCTCGCGCGGCAGTACCCGAGCAGGTCTGAACTGGCGTGATCCGGGCCAGAAAACCGCCTCTGGAAAGCGGAGATGAGCGCTCAGGACGTTGCATAAAATGCAGGTGTGAAAAATTACGGAAAAATGAAACAAGGACACATGGAACCGAAAGGGCCTTGAACGGGGCGCGCTTGCAGTAGCGAGTGGGCAGGCCTCAGGTACAGCCGCCGCCCCCACTGCCCCTTTCCGGTGTGCCCTGCAGTCTTCATCACACCCTCTGAAGCGGTCACTTTCGCCGGCTGTCTCCAGAGGGCGCCGGGACTAGGCCGGCAGGGGGGGTCTCCTCGCACCTTGCAGCCTCCCAGTCATTTCTTGGAGGACTTTGACCCCCACAGTTAGTCTTGTTTCTTTCGTGAACGCCACAAAGGCGGGGGAGGGGTGTCAGGTCGGCCCCCCTTCCCGACGTCTCCCATGCAGCGAGCTTTCCGCAGAGTTGCCCCACTAGCTGTACTGGGTATCGAGCAAGAATCTCTCCTCCTAGGACAAAGGAGGGGCCGCTGCTCGGTTCCTGGGCTACTTGGACCGTGAGGTTCGCCCATCACCGACTCAGCCTGCTGCCTTGCCTAGCCTAGCCAGTGCTTCTCGGTCGCTCCACCTTAAGCAGCAGCGCAGCCGAGTCCCCGCCCAGTGCGGCCCGGTCCGGTCCCGGCATCCACCGCGCGTCGACGCGGGGCTGCCGAACTAGGGCGGGGCCGGCAGACTAACCAGCTAGATTTTTGCAGGCCAGACTTTACGGCACCAGGTCCCGGAGCCATGGAGCCCCGGGCGGTTGCGGATGTAGTGGAGACTGGAAAGGAAGATGTGATTGCAGAAGCTCTGAGAACATACAACCAGGAGGTGAGCGGAGGCGGGAGCCCAGGGACGCGCGTGGAGGAAGAGGGCAGCATGTGAGTGCATGGTCGGCAGGGAGTGAGTGTGGCGCGGGCTCTAAGAGGGCGTGATGGCCTGGTTCAAGATCCGTGGCGAGGGTGAAAGACCGGGTACTTCCCTTGGGGGTACAGCTGTGTGGGTGAGCCACCCACACTGACACCTGTCCAGAGGCAACAGGCTGCCTCACCTCCAACCCCTCAAAGAGCACAGGCCCTACCTGCCCGTAAGGTAGACCTGAGCCCACTGTGTTTCTGCAGCATTCGGAGAGCTTCACCTTTGACGATGCCCAGCAGGAAGATAGAAAGGTGGGTGCTAGCCCTAGGGGTAATGGGGCAGGGAGGGCTGCTCCAGAAAGAAGCCCTGGTGGAGTCACTGTTCTCCCTGCCCACAGAGACTCGCAAAGCTGCTGGTGTCTGTCCTGGAGCAGGGCTTGCCACTTTCACACCGTGTCATCTGGCTGCAGACTGTCCGAATCCTGTCCCGGGACCGGAGCTGCCTGGCTCCATTCACCAGCCGCCAGAGTCTGCACGCATTAGCCTCTTATGCTGACATATCTGCCTCTGAGGGGTCCCTCCCAGAGGCCTTTGACATGGATGTCATGCTTGAGTCCCTTAAGTGCTTGTGCAACCTTGTCCTCAGCAGCCCTGTGGCACAAGCACTTGCTGCGGAGGCCCGCCTGGTGGTGAAGCTTATAGAACGTGTGGGGTTGTATGGCAAGAGAAGCTTCCCCCATGAGGTGCAGTTCTTTGACCTGCGGCTCCTCTTTCTGCTAACTGCACTACGCACTGATGTGCGCCAGCAGCTGTTTCAGGAGCTGCATGGTGTACATGTGTTGACTGATGCACTGGAACTGACGCTAGGAGTGACTTCTAAAGAGAGTCCCCCTGAAGTCCTTCCTCCCCAAGAGACTGAGCGAATCATGGAGATCCTCAAAGTGCTCTTCAACATCACCTTCGACTCTATCAAGAGGGAGGTAGAGGAGGTAAGTTGTGGCCTGAAACTATGGTGGGGCCTGCTCGCCTTATCTGGGATACTTCGTGGAGGCATGTCTTCTACAATATCTTTAGGTTCCTGAGTGTCAGACATGGAGGACAGTAGAACATCCCAGGAGATATATACTCCAGGACAGATCTTAACGAACGTTTCTGAGGGAGGTGGGGGCCTAGTAGGAAAACTGTGGGGTGCTTGCGGGAGACTGTAGGATATTCTCCATTTCTGAGGCCATGTGTGACCAAGACGCAGTGTAACTTCATCCCAGGGGGATCCACTAATGTCTTAATCTGGAAAGTACACTTAGAAGCACACTCACAGACTTTTTGGAAAAATAGCAGTGATTATCTTTAGCCCAACACTAGTCAAACTGGTCAAGGCCACCAGATGTAATCAGGGAAGTACAGTAGTCAGTGCCACACAGTCCTGGAATGCAGTAGTGCAGATGAATGGAATTCCCTCTTACAGGAACCCTTTCTGCTTTTGGTCAGGAAGATGCTGCCCTTTACCAGTACCTGGGGACCCTTTTGCGGCACTGTGTGATGATTGCTGCTGCTGGAGACCGCACAGAGGAGTTCCATGGGTGAGAGCAGAGCCTGTCATGCTGGGAGGGACATGCTTGAGTGCTAAATGATGGTTCCCAGCTCTGACTGTAGATAAGAACCACTGGAGAGCCCAGACCCAACTGTAGAGTTGCAACTTTTTTAGGGAAACCAGACATCAGTGTGCTTCCAGAGAGCCTCAGGTGCTTCCAGGACATGGCAAGGACAAGAGCTGTGGATTTAGGGGCAGAGTAGTGGTGGGCATGGTATCATGAGGCAGTGTAGTCCTTCACCCTGACTTGTGCCTGGACTGGTGTGGGTTCCCAGAAATCATCCTAGATAGTTTGGGGCAAGTGGGGTTTCTGTGGAAGGTGCTATCCCTCAAGGGGACTCCACCACACACCTGAGTAGAAATATCTCTGAGAGAGTTCCTATTCTTGTGTGTTTTCTTTGTGCTGTTCTGAGGCCCCTCAGCCTCTGAGAGTTCCTATTCTTGTGTGTTTTCTTTGTGCTGTTCTGAGGCCCCTCAGGCTTACATCCTTACAGGATGTAAGGGCACCAGGGGTTGCACTTGTGCTGAAGGATCAGCCCTATCAATGCTCCTGTGCGTCTGTCCCCAGCCACACCGTGAATCTCCTAGGGAATTTGCCCCTCAAGTGCTTGGATGTCCTTCTCACCCTGGACCTACACGAAGGCTCTTTGGAGTTCATGGGAGTGAACATGGATGTGATCAGTGTCCTCCTCGCCTTCCTAGAGAAGCGCTTAAATCAGGTAGGCAGCTGTGATCACTGCTTCTGCACTGTCCACATTGGCAAGTGCAGATCATCTTGGTGGTGTGACTTGGGCAACTCCTCCAGCTGCTCTGTAGTCCAGCCAGATAGCAGCCAGACCACTGGACCTTTCTGTCTCAGAAGTATGTGGACACCCTACACGCTTAAGGTCTCACTTCTACTGGTTACTATAAGCAACAAGTTTCTCAGGGTCTGGCAAAGTGCTTGTTACCTTTTAGCAGTACTGTTGTGTTGTCCTGAGAGGCCCCTGGTTCCTGCTTGTAATCCTGTAATGACAGCCCTTGGTGACAAGCATCAGCTGTCCCTTAACATCCTAAGGAGACTTACAGGAGCCTCTAATCAGAGCTTCCCTTTGACTTCTGCAGCTACATCACAGGACATCTGGATGGCTGAAGTTCTAACCAGTCCTTCCTGAGTTTGCAAATGTTAAGTAGGTGAAAGCTACAGGTTGAGATTCAATACATTACTGAGAAAACCATGTTGCCAAGCAGAAGATGCTCACAGGATGAGCCAGACAGGGAGAGTGGGCATTGGGCACCTGGGCTGTGGCCATGTGTCCCCACTGCTGTGGCTGCTGTTGTTGGGTTCCAGGGAGTTAACAGGGAAAGATGGACAGGGTTGGGAACGCTGCTTGCTGTCTATGAGATATGGAGTAGAAATTCTACTCCATGGTAGTATATGTGCTAGTGGTGTGCTGACATCTTCAGAGAGCTTATGTCTGTCTTGCTCTTACTGTTTTACAGTTGAAGTAGGGATACTGAAAGTAGTTGAAGTGTTTGCCCAAAGTCACAAAACTTTAAGTAGCTTCCTGAGTTCAGTCCTATTAACCCATTGGAAGCTGACAGACACCCACTATCAGCTCCTGGTCCTTGACCAACTTGTTGCAGTAGGCTTCTTCACAAGCCTTTGTGCCAGGACTGAGGGGTGCATGTAGCCCCACCACTGCTTCAAGCTGGGGCAGTGACAGAGGCTCCTCTGCAGACCCACAGGCTGAAGGAGAGTGTGGCTCCTGTACTAAGTGTGCTGACTGAGTGTGCCCGCATGCACCGTCCAGCCAGGAAGTTCCTGAAGGCCCAGGTATTTTGCAGAGGAGCCAGAGCACCTGGGGGATTATGGGTGGGGCCTAGTCACAGATGCTGTGCTGCCCCAGGCCCTGGCTGAGAGACACTGCCTCCCCAGGTGTTGCCACCCCTGCGGGATGTAAGGACTCGGCCAGAGGTGGGAGAGCTACTTCGGAACAAGCTGGTGCGCCTTATGACACACCTAGACACAGATGTGAAGAGGGTAGCTGCAGAGTTCCTCTTTGTCCTGTGCTCTGAGAGTGGTGAGTTGGGGGAGCCTGAGCCTAGTCTTCCCTGCCCACCAGCTCATACACTGACTTAGGCCCTGGCCCACAGTGCCCCGGTTCATCAAGTACACAGGCTACGGGAATGCTGCTGGCCTTCTGGCTGCCAGGGGCCTTATGGCAGGGGGCCGGACTGAGGGGCAGTACTCGGATGATGAGGACACAGACACAGATGAGTACAAGGAAGCCAAGGCCAGGTATGTGCCTCCCTACCCTTAGGCTTCCCTCACAGCCCCCAGTTTCTGCTCGCTACCCAGCTATGCTCCTATGGTGGGAGGACAGGGTGAGAATGGACAAGGCCTTCCAGAACAGGCATTTGATCCAAAGTGATGTGTCCTGATCTGAGCCTAAGGAGCTTAGGTCCAGGATATCTGGATCACTGGGAGGACCAGGGAATAGCTGGCTAATGGCTGCCCTTGAAAGCTCCTTGCAGCTGCCACCCCTGTCCTCTATCAGGAGAATGAGCTCCTTGCCAGTCCAGGCCTGGGCAGGAAGATGGGGACCACTCACCCCGAGCCCCTTGTGTCCAGGAGTCACTAACACATTCCCCATACCTCCATCCCGGGAAGCAGCATCAACCCAGTGACTGGCAGGGTAGAAGAGAAGCCACCCAACCCTATGGAGGGTATGACAGAGGAACAAAAGGAGCATGAGGCCATGAAGCTGGTGAACATGTTTGACAGGCTGTCAAGGTACGTGTGGTAAAGAAAGGCCTGCAGCTGGGAGAAGGGAGGACAGACCCACATCCTGTCTTATAAGCTACCAGACCAGTCACAGAAGGGCTAAGATTCTGGGCAGGCTGCATTAGTGGTGTTTAAAATCACGTGTCCTAGAAGAAATACTGCAGAACAGTTAGGGAGAGGTCAGTATTGTATCCATTTTACAGATGAGGAAGTCTGAGGCCAAGAAGGTAAGGCCTAATGTCTCAAAGCCATTAGGTAGCAGTTAGGACTTGGGCCTGATTAGCACAGAGTCAAAGCCAGGCTTCTCAGCAGCAGCCAGAGATGAGAAAGACCCCTGCCTGACATACTAGATATCTTCCTTGGCCCCACTGCACCTTTCTCCTGCAGGCACCGAGTCATCCAGCCCATGGGCATGAGTCCCCAGGGTCACCTCACATCCCTGCAAGATGCCGTGTGTGAGACCATGGAGGGGCAGCTCTCCTCAGACCCGGATTCTGACCCTGACTGAGGATGGTAGTTCCTCTGCTCCACCTTCAGAATTGGTGCTGCTTCCAGAGACATCCTTGGGGCGGCAGCCTTGGGAAGCCCAGCCCTTCTCTAGCTGGAGTCCCTTTCTGTACCCCAAGTTCTGTTTATGACTTGCCTCTACTCCTATTTCTTATCTTGTGGATTGCAATAGTCTTGTCCTGCTGTAGCTCTGGGAACTTGGCCCTGGTTTCTACAGGTGAGGCTGGCCTAAGTAGGGAGCATTTATGATATGAGCCCATCTGGGGCTGGCACACTGCATTTCACAGAAGGGATGTGCTAGAATTTTACCAGTCCATACACTGGATGTCAAGGTAGGCTTCTGTTGTATTTCCACCAAACAGGGCTACTCATGCTTCCACATTTCCCTTGGTCCTGCCTTAACCACCCATTACAGTATCCACATACCCATGTTCTCACTGGCTATGACATTGTCAATTGAAGAATACCAATCCTACTCACTGGTTCAGGCTGAATACTTGTATGAAGGAAAATGACCCTACTGAGACCGTAAGATGAAATCTTGAGATTTCTAAGAGTCATGGAAACATCCTAGAATAAAGAGTTTTCAGCAAGACTGTGTCAATGTATGTGTAAAGTAGTTGAGACATTAAGTAGAAGTAAAAGCTAATGTTCTTTTCAGAATTCAACACTTCGAGGTTATCATGCATTTTTCGTTATCAGCAATGAACAAGGTCATGAGACTCCCTTCTGTGGTATCTATCGGTTAAGTTTGTCTCTTAGCTCTGGCCCAGTGCAGGCACTGCTTAGAGATGGGTGATTCTACACGATGCCAGGGAGGAAGACATACACACAAGTGTGAGTTCTGCCAGGGCCTGCAAGGTTTTCCCGGGAGTGATTCCTTCTCTGTGGATAAAGCTGGCTGTGGTACCATTATAGGAAGAGACACTGGATGATGAGGGAATGGGGACAAGGTAGACTGGGATGTGCTGGACAAAACATCTGGAGGCGTACCAGGCATGGTAGTACACACCTGTAATCACACCACTTGGGAAGCTGAGGCAGAAAGATCATTTACTGAGTTTGAGGCCATCCTGGGCTACATAGTGAACTCAAGGCTGGCCTGAGCTACACTGTGAGACCCTGTCTCTTAAAAAAATAATATTTGGAGGAGGCAGGTGTGACCATCACAGGGTAAGGTCAGCAGAGGGGAGGTAAGTAATCTGACAGCAGGGCCAACTTGAGAGTGAAACCAAGGGCACATGTGCTTAGTCCTGACTGCTCCAAAAGGGGAAACCCACATACTCTGAAGGTTCCACTTTGCATAGGCCTATCAACACCTGTTCATTTGGTGAAACAAAAACAAGCGGATATCTATTTTTGATAGTAAAATTATTTTATGCAAGAATGAAGGATAAGCTTTTCTCTAAAAATAATCCAACTGCAGAGAACCTAGAAGACCCTAGTGCATCACCTGAACCCAAGCTCAGGTCTAACAGACAGGCCAAGCTGCCCTACAGAGAGCCCAGGATTCCACCTGTCTGCTTACGTCCTAGAGGGGCATCCTCAGAACAAAATGTTTTACATTGAAAGCATCAGCAGGATAAAGAGCTGGATACACCAAACAGGACAGACAGTTCCTGGGCAACCATCGCCAAGTGGCCCCAAGCACAAACATCCTGCATGGCAGACATCCTGATGCAACCTCAGGCACCCAGGCTACCTCAGGCTGCATGCTGTGGTTTGGCCCAGATTTCCTGAGTGCCCAGGCTGTCTTCAGAAATGGGATGAAGATCTGCGTAACTGTTTCCTGGACATAGGGCAATCACTCTCCTGTCTCATCCATCCAGCTGGAACAGAGGAGAGAAGTTGGTTTGCACAGCTCAGCCTGGATCAAACATACAGCTGAAAACAAGCACAGTATTTCATGAAACAAACTTTTCTTCTTACAAATGAGCAAGTTAAGACATTCCAGCAGGCCTGGCAAAACGGGGCTAATCTTCATTCCAAAGGATTTTAAATAATCAGGATGTACTGCTTACATGCTCAAAAACATCCACTGTTATCTGGGCCTGGTGGGGCACTCCTGTAATCCCAGCACTTGGGAGGCTGAGTCAGGAAGATTGTTCAAGGCCAGCCTGGGCTACAAAGTGAGTTCAAGACCATCCTGAACTGCACAGTGAAACCCTGTCTCAAAATGACCTCCCCCCCAAAAAAAGAAAAACACACTTTAGAAAGTAACCCCAAGGATGGCAACTCTAAAAAATTGAAATCATAACCCATTTTTCACAAATTTCTGTGAAACCAGGAAATAGAACAGGTAAAATCATGTAGGACCACTTCCAAAAATCCATAAGGGCCCTACACTGTTTCTACATAAATAGAAATCAGAATCAGGAAACCTCACATGCCTACCAGCCTGATCTACGAAGACCTCAGCTGCCCTGGGAACTAGCCAGAGGGCATCTGCCTCAATGGGTCATATTTTGTTACCTGGATTCTGCGCTTCTATCACAAAGCAAGCCAGTACATGTAACATGCTCTTGTCTGTATTCCTATACAGTGAGATGAGAAATAACACCAGCCTTTATCTTAGCCCTAAGAAACAGACTTTGAAAGGAAAGCCAAAACATTAACAGTAACGTCTAACACACAGAAACAGTTAATGCTAAGTCTTCTATCCTTCATAAATCTTGTATTTGCTATTGGTTCAGTCTGGGTATAAAAACAAGCTGTAATCTGAGGGTGAGGACTTTTGCCAGTGGAGATAAAAGGAGACTGCTGGTCATGGTCATTAAGCAGGCATAGCTGGAGAAAAAGGAAAGGATTGGGGTTTCTTGAGATATCTGACTTGGGAACAAGAACATCAATTGTGATATATTCTTATGAAATCCTTGGACAGTGTTTTATCTGTAACTGTAAAACTGGGCTTGAAATGCTAATGCTACCTCCTATAGAAACTATCCCTGATTGCTGAAGCTAAACATGTTAATGATTTTCACAGGAACCTATATTTTCCATGACTTCACTTATGAGAGGTATCAAATCTAGAAAACAAGGCTCTGGTTTTCCCTGAGTGGGTGGTAACAGACAATGACTCACATGGACTACTTCCCAAAACTACTTCTGGTTCAAGCTTCATCCCTAATGATGCAGAGCATTTCAGCTGTCCAGAGCCTCAGAGGGGAGCAAAAGGCAGTGGCCTGTGGGGTAACATGCCTATCCACCATGAGACCTTGGGAACAGGAATGTGGCATCAGTTTGCTCCTCTCTCAGTGCTTGGAAGTGAGTCCAGCTCAGTCAAAATGAAGTTCAGGCAAAATGAACAGCAGCTCAGTCAAAATGAACAGCAACACCAGCAGTCGCTGCTCTGGCCAACAGAGCTTCACTGTGAGTGGAATAGATCCCAGAGTTTTGTGGCCTGTACCTTTCCAGTTTCCCGCTGGACAAGGTCCTGCAACTCTTCTGTCCAACCCAGAAGCTCCACCAGCCTTTCCACATTTTGAACCACATCCCCCAGCTGGATCACATCTCTGCTGCGAGGACGCCAAGCAAAAGGTCCCACTAGGTCCCTGTTGATGAGCAATCGAGGCACCGAGGCGCGTACGGCCTCAGACAAGCTGGCAAAAGGTTCCACCTGAAAAAGAGCACAAAGATAAGAACATGATCCACCCCATGAACCATCAGGGTACGATGCCACAGCCACAGAGGCCTTGAGGGATAAGAGACCAGGGTCAGACCCTGGGACACAGGCAGCCTCCCACTTAGTCTGGATAGACTTCTCCTCTCAGGCCTCCCTTTCCTCCTCCTCTCCTGCTCCATTTGCCTTGGCCTCTCACCACTTCCACCCCTCCTGCCAAACTGCACTCTACCTGCAAGCATCTTCCTTCTCCCTGTCCTGCCTACCACACCACATGGCCCCTGCTGGCAACCTCCGCTACACTTGTCTCACACCTGGCAGAGGAGCCAGAGCCCCTGCAGGCTCCTGACACGCCCAAGGGCTGAGGACTGTCCCACATCCTGTCATTACCAGCAGATGCCAGGGAGGCCTAATGCTGAGCCATCATCCTTCTGCACAGGCTCTCAAATGAAAGTTTCTTTCATGAGTAACAATGCTTAAAAAGGGAAAATTAAAACTGGGAGAAAATGATCAATTCCCACCTTTCATTGAAAAAGTTTCAAATGGATTAAAGATTTAAATGTTCTTGAAGAAAACAGGCTTTACAAGGGTATGAAAGGAGTTTTTAAGCATAACAAGTCAAATAAGACAAAGGAATTCAACAGATTTGACTGTAAATACTGTCACATTGGTATCAACATAAAATATCAGAAAATTTTAAAGTGTAAACAACTCATCACTATAAACATTTACAGTATATATGAGCTTATATTTCTGATAAACTAATTCATAAACATGTAATTTATGAAATAATTTATGTTGCTAATTTACAACCCAATGAAAAGTGAGCAAGAGATACCAATATGCAATCTGAAGAAAAGAAACAGAAGTGGTAAATAAACATGAAAAGAGGAATTTCACTCTTGCAGAAACCCAAAATCTCTCTCCCCTGCCTTCTGTAGCACTGGCATCCAATTCCCAGGCCCAAGGGTCAGTTCTGTTCCTGGCTCAATCCCCTCAGGTTTATCACTGTTTCTAGCATGGCACCAGTCTTTCTGATCTGGCCTCAATGACCAGCCCACCCGTCCTACCTTTTCTACTGCCCTCCCTAGCCTCCTACACAGCCTGCAGCACCAACTACATGCACACACAAGCACCCCACTGGGAGGTACACTTGTCTTCTCCTCATCCTTCAGCCCACCCCCGACAGGCCTTCTGACAAACCTCCAAGGAGGTCCCAAGGATGAGCAGCAGATCCGCCATGGGGAAATCAAGCAGATGTAGCAAGAACCTCTCAGGCAGCGGTTCCCCAAAGAACACAATATCAGGCTTCACAATGCCAGTGCAAACTGGGCAGCAGGGCACCCTGTCCATCATCACATCAGCCTGCGGATGAAAGAGAAGGTGGGTCCAAAGAAAGTTCCTTTAGGAGGAAAAAGCAACAACTTCTCAAGGAAGTTTCCAACCGCACAAAACCTGACAGTTTATGATGAATTACCATGTGCCTAGCTTCACCAATTATCAACATTTTGCCAATTGTTTCATATGATCCTCCGAAATTTGAAGGATGGTGCTATATTTAAAACATATCCTTGGATAGCACATGGTTTCACCTACAAATTCTCCTTCAGGCTCCATGTCTAATCCCACTCTCCACTTGAGTAGTGTCAAGGGAATACCTGGGGGACTGCAGTCCTCAAATGGTGCTCTGTGGACATATGGCCCACAGTCAGGGGCAGCACAAACTTTGTGCCGAGTTTGAGCTGTAATGACTAGCCTATCACTTCGGCCCTGGAAGACATTCAGTCAGCTGCAGCTCACTGGCTGGCACTGACAGAAGTAACAATACCTGCCAAAGATTGCTTCCTTTCAGGCCAGGTAAAGCATGTGAAAACTGTTAATGTACCCTGAACCAACACCTTGGTCAAGATGGGAATGGAGGAAAGGTGAAAGACACATGGTTCCTCAAATAACTGATGGGATTTGTTTTAGCAAGCTGAATCCAGCAAGAATAAGCAGAAATAATCAACACAAGAAAGAGACCCACCAAGGACTTCAGATATTATGAGCTACAGACAATAAAATGGTGTATGTTTAAATTAAAAGCAAAAAAAAAAACTCCTACAAGCTTAGAATATCTTGTTAAGAATAGGAAACTATTAAAAATATGAAAAAATAAATAAAAATATGATTGACTTGCAAAAGAACCAAAGAGAACTTCTAGAAATAAAAAGTAAACAAAATTAAAACTCAATGGAAGGACTTTATTCTCTACAATGGAAGTGGGTGTTAATGAGCTGGACACAAACAGAACTCACCAGAATGCAACACAAGTGGGAACAGGAGTGGCCCCAACTGTCAGAAAGCAGGTGTAATGCACATCTGCTCAGAGAGTCATGAAATGAAGGAGGATAGGGGCAGAGGTGAGCAGCACTGGAAGAGATAGTAGCTGAGGGTTATCCAGTAACTATGAAGAATCCTAACTCAAGAAGTCCTACACATTTCAAGGAGAATGAATAAAAAGGACTCCATATGGAGATAAAACACAGTGAAACTGCAAATCTCCAAAGGAAAAGTTCTAAAAATACACAGAAATCTGGTATCGACAAATTCCAAAATTTATATATAAAAAGGCAAAAGATCCAGCATAATATCAAAGGAGGAAAACAAAGTTAGAGAATGGACACCTCCCCATACCAAAACTCACTGTGGAGCTAGAGGAATCAAGACTATAGTACTGGTGAAATAATAGGCCCTGGGATCAACAAAACAGCAGAGAGGCCAAAGTGACAGAAACAAACACCTCAGCTAACTTGTTTGCTTGTTTGTTTGTTTTGTTTTTTGAGACAGGGTCTCACTATGTAGCCCAGGCTGTCCTTGAACTCACTATGTCACACAGACTGAACTCAAACTCACACTGATACTCCTGTCTTAGCCTCCTGAGTGCTGTGATTACAGAAGTGCATCACCACTCCTGCTCTCAACTAATCTTAATAAGGGAGCAAAGCATCTCAATCAAAAAAAAAAAAAAAAACTTTTTAAAAAAGAGGTACTAGGGATTGAATACAGGGCCTCACACATACTAGGCAGGTGCTGTTATACTAAGCTACATTCCTAGTCCTCTGTAGGGTCTCATTAAGTTACCCAGATTGACCTCTAGCTTGCTATCCTCCTGTCTCAGCCTTAAAGTACAGGCATGTGCCACAGCGTCCAGTTAGATGTTACAAGAAACACTGCTGGAACAAATTATTGTTACTGGATGTCCACATACAAAGAAATGAACCTAGACACAGACTTACGTGTGCCACAAAAATTATCTCAGATCAAAGCCCCAAATGTAAAGGGCAAAACAAACTTTTTTTTTTTTTTTGGTCTTTTTGAGAAAGCGATACAGTTCAGGCTGGCCTTAAACTGACTTTGTAACCCAGGCTGGCCTCAAACTCCAAGTGATCCTCCTGCCTCAGCCTCCTAAGCACTGGGATTACAGACTTGCACCACCATGCCCAGCAAAACAAACTTCTATAAGATGACTAGGAGAAAACTTAATTAACATTTGTTATGGTAATGACCTGTTAGTTACAACACCAAAAGCACAGCTGATAAAAGAAATAACAGGTGTGTAAGTGGTGTCTCCTTGTTTTAATGTGCATTTTGCTGAGACCTATGATGTTGAATATCTTTTCATGTACTTGTCCTCTTTATAGAGAAGTTTCTGTTCATGTATTTTGCTTATTTTTTGATTGAGTTGTTTACTTATTGTTGACCTTTAAATTGTTTGTTTAATAGTTAGTTATCAGATGTGTCTTAGAAATATTTTTCCCAGCCTGTGGCTTGTCTTCTCATTCTCTTGACAGTCTCTTCACAGAGCAGAAGCTTTTAATTTTAATAAATTTTAACATCAGTTCTTTCTTTTCTTTTTTTTTTGTTGAGCCAGGGTCTCACTAATGGTTCAGACTGGCCCCGAACTCATGGCAGTCCTCCTGCCTCAGACTGCTGAGTGCTGGGATTACAAGTGTGCCACTTTGGAAGACAAAATGGTGGTTTCTTACAAAACTAAATATTTTTTAAAATTTTTTAAATTAAGTTTATTGGAATATTGGAATATTTTAGGTATACATAATGATCACATTCATCATAGGGAATTTGTACCTGTACATGATATATCTTGATTCTTTTTTTTCCCCATTCCCTCTTCCCATCAACCCCTTTTCCCTTCATTACAAAACTAAACATTATCATACAATCCAACAATTATGCTCCTTAATATTTACCCAAAGAGCTTGAAAATTTACATCCATACAAAAACCTGCACATGAATGTTTACAGAAGCTTTATTTATAGTTGCCAAAACTTGGAAGGATTCAAGATGCATTTCAATAGGTAAACGTAGGTTGAAGCAGAAAGACTGCTTCATAGCCAGCCTGGGCTACACAATGAGACCGTATCTCAAACAAAATGCATGGTGGTGCACATCTGTAATCCCAGCACTCAGGTGGCTGAAGGAGGTGGATCACCAGGGGTTCAAGGTTAGCCTGGGCTATAGTGAGACCCTGTCTCAAGCAAAACAAAACAAAAATGTGTGTATGTGTGTGTGTACAAACTATGGTACACCTAGAAAATGGAATATTACTCAGTACTAAAAAGAAAACTATTAAGACATGAAAAGACATGGAAGAAATTTAAATACACATTGCTAAGTAAAAGGAGCCAATCTAGAAAGTCTGCACACTATGTGATTCCAACTCTATGGCATTATGGAAAAGACAAAACAATGGAGACAGCAGAGGTGTCGATGGTTACCAGGAGTTGGGGACACAGGGATGAACAGGTGAAGCACACAGGACCTTCTACTCTGGATGATACATGTCATCACACATTTGTCCAAACCTACACAAGAGGAAGCACATGAAGAGGAAGCACAAATTTAAATGATGGACTCTGGTGATAGTAATGCATTACCACTGATTCATCCACTGTAACACATGTCCCACTCTAGCAGGGTATGCTGTATCTATGTGGGTAGAGGGTACCTAAGAACTATATACTTTCTACTCAAATTTGTTGTGAATCTAACACTCCTCTAAAAAAATAAAGCCCAGGGAAATTAGGATGGAGGAGTAAAAGATGGCAGCAAGTCACAGCCTCTCTCAGACTTGGAATTGAGACACCTGGAAAATGACTTAGCAGAGAGAAAGAGAAAATGACTCTAAGAATCAAGAAAAAGCTGACAGGCAAGCTAAAAATCATGGAGAAATCAAAGACAACACAGGAAATAAGAATGCTAACTTTGGCTCTTGAAGAGAGGGTCCTGCCTCCATAAACATAAAGTAAGCCTGAGAGGATGGGCAGCCCCAATAATGAACAATGGCAGTGCTAGCCTCAAGGAAAACCCATGGTTATTGTAAAATGCAAATATAGTGTGGGCTGTTACACCAAAAATGACTCCTGCTGCATGGCAGGCTAGATTTGGAAAAGCAACCCACTACAGTACCTACCACATTTAGGAGTGGAATAATCAGGAGCCATTGTTATAAAGGGTTTATTGTCTGAGACTGACGGGCTCCAAGAATCAGAAGTCTCAGAACAACCACACCTCAGGGTCTCCGGGGTCACCCTTCCACAGTGACTGGGTAGGAAATGGCCATAAGAGACAGTCACAGAGAGGAGCAGGCTAGGCACTGACTCCCTGAAAAGTTTAAGCAGCAGCAGGCTCAGGCTGCAAAGGACATAGTGGTTCCATCCTTTATGGTGAAAAGCCAGGCTGATCACATGTGGCTTCCTAAGAAACCGAGTTTGAAAGAGCTAGAATTGAGGCCAGTGGATTGCTTGGCTACCTTGCTGCCTTCTTTCAGCACAGAACTCACCAACCAACATGATCAGGAATATGCCTCTTCTTGGATGTCTGGCACATCCTGGCAAGACAAGAGGCCTCTGGGGCACTTCACAAGGCCCACAAGCAACAAAACTAGATGGAATCAGCAATGACTCAGCACATACAGAAGGGCACAACCCTAAACACCTCTGGAGAGGACATAGCACTGAGGTGGACAACACACCACAGAAGGACTCTGCCCAGCAGGAAAGGTAGGCAGGACTCTACATTCACACAGCAAAAAGTGTGGAAACACAATAGGCCCTGGTTGTGACTTATTCTTCCTCTCCCACATCTAGTGGATTCCAATACTATAAGCCCTGGAAAGAAACCGCCACCCAAATACTTCAATGCAGAAAAATTTTGCCTTTTTGGTTTTTTTGTTCTTTGGTGAAGGGGTATTGTTTAATCTCCATGTCTTTGTACAGATTCTGTGGTTTCTTTTGCTGTTGACTTCTAATTTCATTCTATTATGACTTGATGAAATACAAGAAATTATTTTAATTTTATTATA